AAATTTTAATGAATTTTTTTCCTGAGGTAGCATTCAAGTTTGCAAAAAATCAGTGAAAATCCAAACTCCAGACACCACCAACAAAAATCTATTCATTGTATAAATTTTTTTTTTAGTATTACATCTTCCCTTCATTCTGTGAAAATATCATGAAGATTGGATGAAAAATGGTGGAGTTATTCAAAAAGTATAGAGAAAAGTCGTGTTTTGAACCAAAATGGCCGATAAAGAAAAATAAAATATTGACTTTATGATGAAATGGCGGTGACAAACATGCCCGGTATGGGAAAAAATACGGTATTTTGGGGTTCTTATACAATGAAATAGTTGTAGGAGAGGCTGAGGAAGCTGAAAATGCCTACAACTCAAATTCCATAATTTTGAGCCGAATCTTGACTTTGGGGTGTAGCGCCCCCCCCTTTAACAAAGAATCGGTGCGGAACATAATAAGTTTACGTTTTGAGTGAAGAGGTTCCTCGCAAGGATTACCTTTACAACTTCCCCATTCTTTAAACACACGACGTCACAGCTATTCTCTCCCTTTATCTATTATCTATTTGTGGTGGCCGAATTTTGCTATTCAAAAGGCTTTTTAATGGCTGCATCGATCGACATGCGGTTTTCGCCAAAAGATTCTTTAAAATATTCTCCAGATCATGACGCCCTTGGTTTTTTCAGTTTTGAGACAGTTTTGCTGCAAAAAGCTAAATTTTTTTATTTCGTCGATCGCTTTTGTAGGCCAAAGCTTCTGCCTCTGTAATTTTAGAAAATCAGCCAGGTTTGTTTATTATTTCAAGTCGTACTTCCGTTCGATACTATCGCCTCATGTTTTCTTTTTTTACTTGGTGCTAAATTCGACTGTGATCCTTTCGTTTGATGCCTATAAAATAACTGTAGTTTAGAATCATTTAAAGGGTGCACAGTTATATTAAGAAGTCTGAAGTCACTGTAGTTTACTTTTCAGTTTTTCATTAGTTTCGTTTAGATCTAGATCTAATCTTGGGAAAGTCTGTCTTCTAAGACTAGGTTTAAGTGGCATCAGAGTACGCCATAGGATAGCTCAGGCAAAGATGTATCTCAATGTAAAGGGCAAGAAGGATCATCCA